CTAAAACCACTTTCTATAGCAACCTTGAAAGAGGTAACCTATATTTTTCTTTACTGAATTCAGGCTGCTACCCTAAGGCAAAAGAGATGATTTGCACAAAACATCTAGAGATCTGAGAAAAAAAATAGACGACCCACAGGAAAAGTCTGTGTTGAACAAAATGCTTCCTCATCCTTGATTGAATGTTTCTGTGTCCTGGGATGCTTGCACAGTTTTAAGACACTCGGCTCTCTGAAAAGGAGACAAGAACTCCTGGACTATGGCTGTGGTAGCTTTGACATTGCCACCTTGGTCAGTGGTGTCAAAGGGCAATGGGCTGAAGGTATCCAGGCAAGGCCTCTCAGTGCTCTCTCCTCGAGCTGCTTCTTTGAGCTTAGTTCCTGCCATATAAAGAACACTCATGGGTTGGATCAAGTCTTTCAGAGATCAACTCCAGCTTTTCCATTCAACTTTGATCCCAGAAAGCTTGATACAGGTTTTAAATGATCAAATCACTATTTCCAAAAGATTTATTCCACATCTTAGAAAATCATGCATAGCTACTGACATGTTGGTTCAATTGGATAATCCTCCACCTTCAAAAGTTAGCATCCCATATGGATGCTGGTTTGTGTCCCAACTGCTCCACTTCCCATCCAGTTTCCTGCTTGTGGCCTGGGAAAGCAGTGGAGTATGGCTCAAACCCTTGGCACCCTGCACCTGAGTGGGAGACTCAGAAAAGCTTTTGACTTCTGACTGCTAGGTTTGGCTCAGCTTGGCTCTGGCTGATGTGACCATTTGTTGAGTGAACCAGCAGATGGAAGATCTTTTCTCTGTATCTCTCCTTCTCTTGATAAATCTGCCTTTTCAATACAAATGAATAAATTGGGCCCGGAGCAGTAGCCTAGCAGCTAAAGTTCTTATTTTGCATGTGCCAGGATCCCATTTGAGTGCCAATTCTAATCCTGGTGGCCCCATTGCCCATCCAGCTCCCTGCTTGTGGCCTTGGAAAGCAGTAGGGTACTGCACCCATATGGGGGACCCAAAAGAAGCTCTGGGCTCCGGGCTTCAGATCAGCTCAGCTCCAGTCATTGCAGCCGCTTGGGGAGTGAATCATCAGGTGGAAGATCTTCCTGTCTGTCTCTCCTCCTCTGTGTATATCTGACTTTCCAATAAAAATTTATTTAAAAGCAAATAAATCTTTTTTTAAAAAACCCAAAAATTATGTACAGTTTTATGTTCATTCAAAATACTTAATTATTTCAACAGACTCAAAGAGTGCTCAGAAAGTTCAGGGAAACACATTTTGTGGGGGAAAAAAGAGCCATGCATGTATTCAAAAATGTTTGCACCCAAATAAAACTTAGCTTTTTATTCTAGCTTTTTTTTTCCAACAAACCCCACTGTGTACTACTCTGGGTACTGGGCACTGGGAAATAACTATTAATGATTCAGTTATAAAACCTATTTTTAAAAAAATAAAAGTAGTAACTATATCAGCAATTGATGGCTATTCAACCTGTTTACATTGACACAGGCTTTGGGTGACTAGGCAGAGTGGGCACTCTGTTTGGTTCAGCAGGTCAGAGCTTAAATGCTTTGAGACACTAGAGAAAGTTCATCGCAGGGAATGAAGAGGCATGCCATAAACTGACAAACAATAACCACACAGTCAGAACAAAGAAAAACTCAAACAGGGTAATGTGATAATACCTGGCTCTTTCCTGTGGAAGTCAAAACCAGTGGCTTCCCCAGGGAGATGACATCAGTGGTGACAACTGCAATGACAAAGGGAAGTCTCGCGTAGGAGTGAGAGAAGGACTCCTGTTGAGAGACTCCCAGGGACAAGGAACACAGTGCACAGAGACCAGGGTGCATGCCAGGAGCAAATAGAGTCTGAGCGATGAGCAAGATATAATTTCAACGACAGCTGAGGATGTTCACGGAGGGCATTACAGGCAGATGTAAAATTGCAGCCTTCATTAATGAGTTTTTCTTATAGTCAAAATCAGTTGCTGTTGCTTTACTTAAAAAATTATGTGCCCTTGGGTTAGGGGCAGAGAAGAGTATCCTCGGACAAAGTACACATTTCTGCGAAGCTAAGGGCTAATGGTTGTGGCTTTCAGCCATCTATCCAAGACTGTTCGTGCCAACTTTTCATGCCAAAAGCTATGGTTTTGTTATTTTGAGATTTTATCTTTACTAAAATATAAATGCCAGAAAAATATTTGTTGAATGTACTTGTTGGATTGATTTCTAAAGATGTTCAGAAATGCCTTTCTGGGCAACAATGTCCCCCCGAAGCAGAAGTGAGGGAGATGTTTTGAAAAAAAGTCTTCCTGGGTCTCCATCTTGCAGTGGTGACACAGAAGGAAGAGATGGCGTAATCTGCCTGAATCTTTTCCTTCCAATGGAAAGAAAATCCTGCTATATCTCAAATGTGGACAGAGTGAGACACACACATGCACTCAGGGAAATGAATGAAGAAAGAAAGCACACAGGGAGCTAGAGAGGCCAGGGGCTGAAATCCCAAACGCTGTATCTGGCATCAAAAGCACCATGATTGGCATGGTCAGAGTCTTAGATAATAACTTGCAAGTGTTAATAGGTTTGGGAATTAGCAGTTACACATCTTGTTATCTCAATCCTAAAAATAGGTCTTAAGGCCAATTTCACAATTCTGAAGAAGGTAAATGACTCCACTGCATTGTTTGCAGGACCAAGGCACACTGAAGGCTGGCTCAAAGGCTCCTGCTGTGTGGACCAGGAGAGGGGAACATCTCTCACAGCATGTTTCCAGCCAGTGCCTGCTGAGGACATCCTGACTTCATCTTCTGAAAACTACCTCAGGCCGATGGTTAATGTTCACACCTTAGCAGGTAGGAGGGAAAAAATAATTATATTTGCAGGTAAATTTTAATGCTCTAGAATTTTGAAATAGACCTCTGTTTAAAGGTTTGGATTCATTCCAAAACTGAGATTCCAGATGGAGAAATGGCAAAGTAAATCATGACTTTGACGTGTCTGCCAGGTTGCCTCAAATCCCCCTTGTAGTATCATGGTGTAATGAGAGTGAAGTCTTACATCAGGATGGCAATTGCTGTTCCTCATCCTTACCTGTGCACTCAATAGCTCTGTAGCCTTGTGCTAGTTTAACTTTGTGAATTACGGTGCTTTCATCTGTTAAGTAAGTAGATTAAAAAATGAAGTATTTCTAAGTTTTTATATTAAGGATTTGTTGGCTGTGTTAAGGTATTGACACTCTTCAGGGAAAAAGTGCTGGATTTTAACTAGAGTGGGAAATTATGGAATATATGCATACTTCTTTTGTATTACAAATGCATGCTTTAGTACTTCAAATTCCTCATGTCATCAATATGAACAACTAAACTGTGTGCTGGCGATAGTAACTATACTTGAGTTTTTGTTTTTGTGCTCTACTGCTGGTCACATCTAACTTATTTCCCAGTTTGTCCTTCATCAGACAAGCAATCCCTAAATATAGCATGGTTTCTATGGGAACGTACTTTATCCTGCAGATTCTAGGAACACATTTTGATGTGAAAAAATAAGGACTGTCATATAATACGTCCACAACAAGGGGTATAACCAGATTTCATATATCTAAATGAATTTAGGGAAAGATGCTTAAAACTGCTTCAAGAACTGATTCCACATGAAACTTCTCTAGCTACATGGAGTTGGTACATTTGATTTTCATAATAAGAGTTGAAATCATATTTTTTACTGAGGGTTTTCTTAAAATAATTAAGCATATGGCTTAATTGCTTCATTATATTTAAATTATTTGCTTTTTATATTTTTGTGGCCACAAAAACCATTGAATGATCATGTAGCAGATGGCATAGGTAGGGAAGACACTCACTCTTTTCCAAATCAAGTGAAAATCTTATCAGTTAGCACCTAAATGCAACCCATAAGGAACTTGCATGACAGGTCATAAAGTTTAGTTCTTTTGAATTCTTGTGTCTGACAGTAATGTGATTTGGGACTGGGTTTTGTTACAACTGCTGAAGACATGCTGACCCTTTAAACTTTTAATTTAATCTAATTAATTTAAGTTATTTGAGAGGTAGAAACACACAAAGAGAGAGAGAAAGAGAATGAGAAAGAGAGGGAGAGAGAGAGAGATTTCTTATTTGTTGGTCCATTCCCCAAATCCCTGCAATAGAAAGGATTGGACTGGGTCTGAACTTGAGAACCAGGAATTCAAGTTTCCCTCATGGGTAGCAGGGATCCAGCTAATAGAGTCACCATTGCTGCACGGGCAGGAAGCTAGAGTCAGAAGTGGAAACAGGAAGTAAACCCAGTCTTATATGCATGTCTTAATGACTAAGCTCAATCCTCACTTCCCTGAAATCTTAGTGTTGTACTAAACTCACACTTTTTAAAAATCAAGCTTTGACATCGCAGCACAGCTAAAGAAGGCTGTAAAGGTAGATGGAACTTGAAGAAGCTGATGTGAGAAAATAAAGTAGTTTTGAGAAAAGTGAACTCTCTTGTTGTAGTTGCATCATGTGAGGGTCTAGTTTCAATAGAACCTTAACTCCAATCAGAATAGGCACCTTTGGAAATGACAAGGGAGATTACTGCTCAGAAAACTAAAGTCTTGCAGAAGGCATCTACCTTTGAGGTTCTTATTCTTGAAATTGACACATTTTTGGCAATATAAGGAAGAACAACTATAAACAACACTGGAGGGGAAAAAACTTGAAGTTTTCATTTGAATAAGAAAAAATTCTGCTAATCAGCCATGGTTGATGACAGACAACAAAAGTCTTTACTTACTGGAATAATTCTGAAACTGCTTCACCACTAGCTGCAGAGATAAACATCCGTTTGTGGCTCAGATATTTCATCTGTGTTCTCCATTTTGACTGTTTAACCTTATGAGATTTTGATTTTAAGATCTGAACTATTTGCTCAGTTTATCATGCATCTTATGTTTTCACATGGTTGTCGTGTCTGCTAGAATCGTGACTGTTACCTTCCTTCATTGCTTGCTCTGATATAGATCAACCAATGACCACACTGCCTTGAGCCTTCTACCAGAAGCAAAACACAAAGAAGGAAAAAGCAAGTAAGTTTTTGCATAACCATTTTTTTTCAGGGTTTGAATTCTTATTTATAATCTCAATATCTGGTTTTAAGAGCAAAGAAATATCTAGTAATTATAAGGTTTTGCAGGACAATGTTAGAAATGACAGTATGGTCACAAGGGAAAGGTCTTGAGGGAAAGAAAATGATCAGTTAACTTGTAGCTCCCCTAAGAATCTCAACATGTGTAGGAAGATTCTGAGAAGCAACTAAAAATATCGTGTGCGGTATTTATGAATATTTTAAGTACACTGCAAAGGGAGAAATGATGTTGATACTTTAGTGACCTATAATAAGAGAATCTGTTCTGTTTTTTTTATATACATTCTAACTTTTAACAAAATTAACGACCAAGCTGCCTTATAAGATACATGCATTGAATCTGTGGAACTGATAAAAATTTAGGGTCCTGTGGCCTTGTGGATGATCAGAACTTTGAAAGTAAACCAGCATTAAATTTGTTGTTCATAAAGTTATCAAAAAGCTTAGGTGTGATAGTTTTGTAGGGATGTTCTTTAATAAAGTTCATGGTCCAACACATGAGGTTTATTGTTATGCAAATAACTGTTTACACTATAGTAAAACTTACTGATGGTAAGAAATATGCCAGATCTAAGGTATTTTTCACTAGGAAAATAATTATTTTCTTCAGAAAGATTCCACAGTGGGAAAAAAAAAGTCCTTTTAAGATATTTATTCTTCCACTGTAGAACAAATTCTTGCTTAGGTACAATTGATCCAGCTCTGTGCCCAGTCAAGTGGGCAGGAAAACAATGCAGACTTCTCCACACAGAAGAGCTTGAGTTGTTCTGGTATGCCTCAGCCTGCGCACTGAGGACAAACTAACTAAAACCTATTGAATTATCAACCATTTTATGTAATCTAACTATATCCATGCTCCCAAGAAGGAAGAAGTAAATGGTGTCTTAGATTTTGTTACCTTAAAAGCTACAACATTTAAATAGCATTTGTTACAAAGTTGTTTCCACTTCTGGAACTTCAGTTTTTTCAGGGACACTGTAGCACTGCCAGTGCAACATTTTGCACTTCCTAGCTAGAGATGCATGAAGCTCCAGGGGCTTGGGGTTGTTCCCTCTTCAATGAAATGGCAGTGCTGGCACTCATTTGCAGCATGACAGGCTACCCATGTCCTGTTATCCTACTGAACAAACTGTCCCTTAAACTTCCACACCATGGCAAGCATTGGGCAGAGCCAAAGATACCGGTTAGGATATGTGTGTCCCAGGCCTGAATCTGCCTTCCAGTGCTGGCTCCACTACTGATTCTGGTTCCTGCCAATAATCCCAGCACCCTAGAAAGTAATATGTGATGACTTCATTGTCTGGGTTCCTGCCACCCATGTGTGAGATTTTGATTCATTCCAAGGCTCCTGATGAGAGCCTGGCCTAGTCTGAAATGTCATAGACATTTTGGGAGAATAAGCCTTTCCCTGCCTTTCAAATAAAACAAACAAAAATTTTAGAAACCCAACTCTCACACCTAGAAAGCTTAAATAAAAACCAAGAAGATCCAATTTCAAACTGCAACAGTTAACTAAAATGTGACACAGCCCATAGAAGAAAATAGCACACAAAAGGGTACTTCAACAAGTTCATAGAAAAGGAATAAAAATGTGATTTTATCTTGGTATAAAAATTTTTTTAATAACAAATATAAACTACTTAATTGAGCAAATGATGCAGGGACAGTGTTTTGCAGATAACTGGTATAAAAATGATTTATTTATTTGGAAGGCAGATAATTATAGAGAAAGAGAAATGAGATCTTTCATTTTCTCTCTAATTCCTCAAATGGCTGTAGCAGGCAGTGCTGGGCCAGGCTGTAGCTTATGTTTGCTATGCTGTTGCCTGAAGCCTAGTGATTCTTGCCCAGATTCTTTGTGATCTGTCTTTAGAGGGGCATGTATGCTATTGCTTAATTAATGAATAACCTGCCTGCCTGCCCTGTAAAAGTTTTAGTGTATAAGTGCCTAGAGCAGTTCAATAAAATAGGCATTTGTTCACTTGTCTTTGCATCCCTTGTGTCCCAATTCACCTCAGGTCTGGGTCCCCCCAAAGGATCCCCCAATGCCAGCATGGCAGAGGGCTTACTCCACTGTACCACAAGGGCAGCCTCTTAATTAATATTTTTTGTCCCATTTCCCACAAACTTTTTAAGCATCTTCAGTGTTGCTCTGGTTGAAATTGCTCCAGTAAAATATTATAAAATGTTGCGCATACATATACATTCTTGGAACAATCACCATCATGTCTATGATTTTCTTAAAGTTGCCTGCCTGATAATAGGAGGGACACTCTTTATAGTTCAGACCTGAATGTAGACTGCTGCTGGTATTTTAATAAATGTCGTTTTACTTATAATGTTGCTATTTTTTAATCATGATTTTTCTTGTAATCATTTTCAGTTAAAATCACATGAATGTAGAACTGTTTTAATTCCTGAATATTTTTGCTTCTATAAATGTTACACCTGAAATTGACATGTGTCATGCTCATCCTAACCTTGATCCATGATTGCATAATCCCCAGGTGTAGTAATGAATTTTATATCCAAAAATTTATTTTCATAGTTTTATTTCACTTACTCTCTTTAGTACATTTAGGTATTTTGGAGGAATCTGAACATATTTTTGGCACATCATTTAAGATTTGTAAACAATTACCCAAGGTTGAAGATTTATATAATATTCTGAATAGCTTTAGTATATATATATATATCAAATTTTTGTGAAACTGGTTTTTATTATTATTATTATTATTTAGGAATTTTTGGCCTTCTAACCTCTTCGTGGCAAAGCCTAGAGATGAATAATACAACTACTCTGACAAATACCTCAAACCTTCAAGTAGGACATTGCAACACACAGTGTAGGATCATTCTGATGACACTCTACAGTGTGGTTTTGCTTGGAGGCACTACTGGTACTGTATTGATGTTACGCATGATGCTGAAAAGGAAAAGCCTGTCAGTGATTGCCACAATCGTCTTCAACATCATGGTGCTGCACTGCCTTCTCTTGGTCACCCTTCCCTTCCGCCTCAGCTACTATGTCTTAGTCGTCTGGGAGCTTGGGTCTTTTACCTGCCGAGTAGTTAGTGGCATCATATATGGCCACATGTACTTCACCTTCCTTTTTTATGTGACTATTGTTATACTCCGATTACTCATCTATTTTAAGAAACTCCAAATGCAACAGTTACAGAAGTATCATGCTGTAGTCCTAAGCACAATCATTTGGATGATGGGTAGCCTCATTTTTTTGCCAATTTTTTTCCTACAGTATGGTACAAATCCAAGTTATTCGGAGAAGCAATGTTTTGAGTTCTACAAAGACCTCAACCGCAGGGAATTCATCATCATGAACTACTCCATGATTGTCATCATGATGACAACAGTTGCAACTCTCTTTCTGATACAGATGGTTGTTATCATTCAGCTGATCAAGGCTCTCTGGCCTGACCTGTGGGCCCATCAAGAGTATAGAGCCCAAATCAAGAGTTTCTTCTTCCTCCTAGTTATAGTTGTCTGCTTTATACCCCATCATGTATTCCGTGTACATTTTATTCAAAATTATTCAGAAAGTTCTGAGTTAGTTCTTTATAATGAAATTTGTGTTGCTTTGACCACTGTCTGTTGCCTGGATATGCTATGTTTCACAGGTGGAGTCATCCATTAAGCCTTCCAAAGCTTTTGGCTTTGTGGTCAGTGTCTCCACCACCATAAAGATGTAACTCCTACTGAGGGGTGGCTGCCATGCTTTCATGTGTTTTCCAATACTCTTCTGTAATTTGTCCTCAAAATTGTTTTTCCACACAAAGGTGAAGATGATTGATTACTCCCCTCACTTTAGAGAACAACTACCTGTTCTACTTTTGACATTTAGCATGTTTGATCTCAGCCTACACAAGCTGATCACATCATCCTTTCCAGACTCATCAACTCCTTTATTGTTGTTGTTGTTGTTTATCAGCTTACTTCAGATATGTACAACTAACTGATGATTTCCCCATACTTTCCAGATCTTTGCTTTTATGGAGGTTTGATCCCAGAATATCCTTTCTCTTTATCTCCAAATTACCTATTCTTCAAAATCCAGAAATTCCCAAAGAGTCTCTGATTCTGTAGAAAAACTGACATATAGAAAAATACTAATTTATTTAACTTATGCTAGACCTGAGGTAACTACCTTTTGAAAATGGCCAGTATGCAAACAATTTCTTAGTATTGGGAGGGAAGCATTAGCTCAGACAAAGAAGTTTGAAGAGTTAGAGGAAACTCAGGAATGATTGCACAGTGTTGTGCTTTGATTCTGATTAAGACAATAGGTACCCAGGGGGCTGAGGTCACCTTGTAGGTATTCCTTCCCCAACACTGATCTATTAAGCAGGAAAAACAATTGGAAAAGGAATAAGGCTGTAAGACTTTGCCTATCCCTGTTTACAGACTCTTAACATCAAACTTTGCTGACTGTAAGAGCGTTTGCATGACTTTTCAAAGTACTCTAAATAGCGAGGTAGAATATATAATTAAAAGTAACATTGATTTCAGCTAAATTTATTAAAACTATCAACACAACCAACTACCAACTTTAATTCTACTTACATAATACAGAAATTGAGATGCAATTAGACTTTGCTTATAATGATGATAGCTATGAGACTTATTTATTGGACCATATAGGCAAACAACACCCTTAGGGGTTAACAAAAAAGCAAACCTTATGCCTAGGATTTATGGAGTAATCTGAAAATATGGATGAGGTATTTACAATCTCTGAGCTCCAGTTTTTTATGGGCTATTTTATGGTCTGCTAGTGAGGCTAAATTCTGTGTGTTAAGGCAACAATGGGTGTGAAATACAACAGAGGGCCTGGCATGTAGGACTCAGCATTATATTTCTTCTTTCCAACTCAGTAACATATTTTTGGCTAAAAAATTTTAATGCATGTCCAAAATCCTACAAAATGTTGATCCAAAAAGAAACATGACATTTGTGTATCTATACTGTAAACAATTATTTAATCTGCTATTCAAAAATTAAATGGATTTCACACTCCTAATTTTGCCTTCAAGTTGTTTCGTTGCTATTATAATCATCAGCTTCTTCTAAAACACTGTACAAAAACTGTTGTCTGAGCATAAGATGAATAACACTATACTTAAAATATATATTTAATCAATTTTGGAGAGGATATGATATTCTCAAGCAACAATAACTTAAAGATTGTGATTAATGGGCCTGGCGCAAATGCCCAATTGGCTAATCCTCAGCCTCCAACCACCAACATCCCATATAGGGTGCTGATTTTTATTCTGGTTGCTCCACTTCCCTTCCAGCTCCCTGCTTATGGCCTGGGAAAGCAGTAGAGGATGATGGCCTAAAACCTTGGGCCTTTGTACCCATGTGGGAGACTTGAAAGAAGCTCCTGGCTCCTGACTCGAGATCAGCTCAGCTGCAACCATTGTAGTCATGAGGGAAGGAAGCCAGCAGGTACAAGCTCTTTCTCTCTGTCTCCCCTTCTTTTTGTAAATCTGCCTTTCCAAAAGTAAATAAATTAATTTTAAAAAGATTGTGATTAATTATAGCCAGGATTTAGTCAGAAGTAACCAGCACATTGGGTTCTGTGAGTTTTGTTTTATAATATGCTAGGCAGTCTCCAAGAAGATCCTCACTGAACCCTGCCTCTCAGTATTCATATTCCTGTGTCATCTCCTCTCTCTTCATTGGCTTCTTATGATTAGAATAAGGCTGAGTGACAGGACATTATTTTTAAAGCTATGCTACCAAAAGATTGACTTCCATCTTGGCCACTCTTCTTTTTGGCCACTATTTTTTCACTCTGAAGGAAGTCCTGGCATGAAGCAGCCCTACAGAAAGCGATTGGGACAGAAAATCCAAGTTGTCTAGCAGCCATGTGAGTGAGATTAGAGTGCGTCTTCTAAGATTCACCAGTACCAAAGAAGTGAGCTTAGCAATGGATCCTATTTCATCTGAGCCTTGCTGACAGCCCAGCTGGCAACCTGACACTGCCTCATGAGAGACCCTGAGCTAGAATCACTCAACTAAGTTGCTTCTAAATTTCTTTCCTGAAATCATGAAATAATAAACTCTTGTTATTTAAGGTTACTGCATTTTGGGATGATGACATGCAGCAATAAATAACTTATTCAGAAGATAAATTATGTATACCTGTATAATACTGCCATATAAGGTACTTGTATCTGACATTAACAACTCACTTGTAAGTCTCTGTGTGGCCCCATTGCTCATGATAACAAACAGCTCTTTGCCTGTTGTCTGACTTACTAGCTAAGAACTGTGTCTGGCATGACATTACAAGTTCTACTTCTGTCCCCAAAGACTAGAAGTATAAGTATGTGTTTGTACATTAAGATATACTGTAACTATTTAAGGTAAAGACTACCAGGAGGAAATGGGATGGGTGGAAGTGGGTAGGAGTTATTCATGGTTAATGTAGTACAGTCCATTAAAAGCTCTACAAAATGGTCCCTGAGTCAGCAGCACCTCCTTAGACCTTATCAGAAATGCATGTTCTTGATGATCAGTCAAGACTGCTTCAAAAATTCCAACTGTGGAAACGTATGTCCTGTGGCTTAACAAACTCTCTTGGCTGAGGTCGTTGCAAGCTGAAATTTGAGAATCACTGCACTGGATTATGTTGATAGACTGACAATGGACACACAGTTTTTGCTTCGTTTTGACACTGTTACGAAGAGAGGTAGAATTTGTATCTTCCCTCACTCACTATGGATGGAATTTCTAACTGCTGCAACAACAGAACACAGGGTAAGTGACACTGAGGTATCACTTTAAGAAATTTCCAGGTATCACTTTAAGAAACATGCAAACTCCATTTCCTGCCCCCTTGCAACAACGGTTCTTGTAACCTCAATAGCCCTGCAAAGACTTTCCTACAGGAGAGAAGAGCTAAAGTTGTGTCTGACACAGAAGGAGGAGGCGAGCCCAGAGAAAGCCAGTCTTGCAGTGAAGGCACCTGCCATGGGAGTGAGCCTGTTCTGCGTTCTGATCAGTTCAGCTGCCATGTGAGTACTGTCTAGGGACACACAGCACAGTGTGAGAAAAATGTCCACTCAAATCTATCTGAATTCCTGATTCAAAAAATGAGATACCATAAAGTATCTGTTTTAAGCTATTGGATTCTGGGGTAACCTGTTATACAGCAATAGACAATTACCACATATATAACTCAATAATAGAAAAATAGGTGGAGTCAATTTTTAATAAAATTATTTAACACACCCTTTCTAAAAAATTGGTATTTAAGGGGATAATCAATATAAAAGATGAGAGAGAGAGAGAGAGAGATTTTACATTCTATTATTCATGCTGAGGTCTTGAAACATCTCATGGCCACTGAATTTGATGAGAGAGGTCCAGCTCATCCAGAAGTCATCTGGTAATGGCCACCAGGGCACAATTTGTACAGAAGGCCAGCCTTGCGGTCTCTCTGCCTTCAATTTCTATGTCCAGAGTCTATTTCAGAGAGTGGATATGAAAGTTACATAGTATTACAGAATGTTCCAATAACACTGCCCCAACATGGAACAAGAACTCAGTCAGTGGAGCTTTGCTGCAAATAAAGAGAGACAAATAATCGACAGCTGTGTAAGACAATACTCTGTAATGATTCTGGGATAGGTTAACCTGGATATTCCTACCTCTCTGAATCCTGGGATCACGACAGATCTCAGAAACTAGTGAATTTGGTGCTATAAATGAACACTGACTGAAAGGATCATTCTTCCTTGGGAGAAATGGTCAGGTTGCATTTCACTGAAAATTTCACTTTAATTCCCTTCATCTGACTTCCAGACTAGGTGTTCAGTACATATTGATTAGTGAGTCTAAATATAAAGATGTTTCTTGACACATGGTATAGATATATCTTGAGGAACTCATTTTAGGTTGAACACACTGCAAATGGAAAATGCATTTCACACCTCCAGCTTACTTAAAACTACCTGAGCAACACAGTATACTGTATGGAGTATTGTTTGGTTTCCCTCATGGTTGTGGAGCTGCCTGGGAGCTCACTTCTGCATCCCAGCATCAAGAAAAGGAATTATATCACATATATCTGGCCAGAAGGAAGATCAAAATTCAAAATTCCAAGCATGGTTTTAGAAATGTAGATTGCTTTTGCACTAGTGTTAAGTAAGAAAAAAACAAAAACAAAAACAAAAAAACCACAAAAACACCCTTAAGTCCCATCACATAAGGACCATCTGGACTTTAACTGTGTTGTTACACATATATCTGAGCTGTTACTAGCCTTGTATTCAGCAGCAACAACAAAAATGTTATGTATGTTTTCATTATCCAACACATAATTGCTCCAGGCCGACAGACCCAAAGGTTAGGAAGACTTCCTCCTGTGAGTCCACTGACTGGCCTGGCAGCCACAGTCACCATGTAGATCTGTCTTCTCTTCTGCTAAGCTCCTGGTTGGTAATTTTTCCCACAACATATTGGCAAAGGCTTCCAATTTCTGTTCTCAAACTTCACTGTTTCTTCCAATGTTGTGGTTCTTGGAGCACTACAGCAGTGCAGAATTCCAAGAAGAGACAGAATGAGTGCTCATTTTCCAAACTCAGCTGTACTTTTTATTTATCTACTTTATTTATTTATTTTTTACAGTTGTACTTTCTTGAATAAGCCTCAAAAGCAGTTCTTGGGCACTTAGAGCTCTTTTTTTCAGTCCTTTCTTTCAGAGTTCCGTTAGCTTGTTGGTGGCTTTCATCCGGTATGTATAATCTCACCAAGTCAATGGATAATCTTTTCTGTATGTCTTTGATTATACACGTTCTAACCTAAATGTATCATCCCCTCTGCCTGAACACATCTGTTCTCCAATTTTGACATCTTTGTTCTGCTCTAAGCAGGAGGCTGGCCCTTGTGCATTTTGCAATGTCCTATGGGCTTCTCTGAATTTTTAAATTTGGCCATTGGGAGATATCAAGAAATACCAACCACAATGAGGAGTGAAGTTGAATGATTTATTCTAGGCTCTTTCTTTGTTATGTGCTTACAATTAAGGTACCACCTGCATTCCTTGTATACCTCAGCCCCAGAAAATTACCCAGTGATCTTGGGTCCTATCAGTGCAGTTTCCTTCCAGAGTCCCTTCAAAACTACAGGTGCTAATTGCTACTCTGCATTCAGCAAGACTCCTTTTCTGTATTCTGCCTTCAGCTCCGGACAAAGCACCTTCACTCAGTTTACCCATCTATTTCCTTTGAAGAAAGTGATTTATAGTTCATAAGGATCACATGCATTCCCTGAGGTATGGGGGAAAGCGCAAGAGTCTCATCCCCTTCCTTTGTAAATATCAATAATTCAGACAAACAGGAGATTTCTTGTGGTAATATCACTGGGTGGATCACAAATGCATCTGCATCTTGAGAAAGACATTAGAGTTTTGATTTCTACATGATTATCCCTTGAGCCTATCAGGCAGAAATGCTACATAGAATACTTGAAAGGGATAAAAATGATACTTCTTATATAACAACAGTGAAGAACCAAAGGGATACAACGTCATGCCATCAATACCATACATCTGTTGTATGGAAAAAGATGTCTACTTTATTTAATTCACTTCAGAATTAGAGTGTGCAAAAATAATTATAGGTAGGCAAAAGCATAGCAGTGAAAAATATATATTCTTAACAAAATTAATCAAACCTTCTTGATATTATCAGTACATGAGTATACAATAAGAATTGATATGCATTTAATTGGGCATGCACACAAAATTTTAAATAATTTAAATTTAAATTTTAAATAATGATCCCTATTATTTAAAAATTAACTTTAAAATCCACCATTCCAATACAGTGTTTATTCAATGACAATAATCTCTTTCAAAGGCCTTTTGTCCTTGTTTTAGGAAGGCATCTTAATCAACTATTGGGACAGAGAAAGCTGAGTGAATTTCTCCGGCTCCTCTAGAAGGAGGAGAAGGAAGTAATCAGAACTTGGGCATTGTCTACTGATACTTAATAAGGGAATCAGAGACTCAAAGAAAAGAGCTAGAGAAATATTTATTTGGGACCGAGTGTACCTAAAATGTTATTAAAGATAGACCAGCAGCACACAGCAGCACACAGCAGCACACAGCCCTCTCCCAGGTCAACAGAGGTGGCAAATTTTACCTGCCTGAGTCAGGGAGGGGTTTCCCACAACACCTCACTGGCAGTGCCTAACAGACACAGATTAGCCTAAAGTTGCCTAGCAAGTTGGCAGCACCATAGGTCAGCCCTGGTCCCGTAACCCACAGGTCAGCCCTGGACTCAACACCATATCACACATGGCCTTGTCTAGACCCAGTCCTGAGCCAAAGGAAGCTCAGATGACATGGTGCCCTCCCTGTTTAGGGACCTGTCCCTGCCCACAGGTTGTGGACTGCCACACCCTATCAGGAGCCACCACCATCCCAGCCATTCAACTGGACCCTCTGTGATCAGGGCTTGTGCCCCAGGTGTGATGGTTGATGGGGTGAGCCCTGCTTGCATGGGACTGTCACTGTGGATTCCAAAATGGTGTAATTGAGATATGGTAAATAAAGACAAATAAAGTCAACTTAAAAAACAAAAACCAAGGACAGACATAGTTGATATGCTAACTGAAGCAGAAATAATCAATAGCATGGGGATAGAGAATATGCATTTGAGTTCACATATTTGGCTAATTATTTTTTGATCTTTTAAAGAACATTTTAGATTCTCAGCAACACTGAGCACAGAGGACAGAATTTCCATATACTCCTCTTCCCCACACATACACAGCCACTCTCCCCATCAACCACCCCCATTATAATTAATGAGCCTATGTTGGTACATCATTATTCCATAAAGTTCAGAGTTGACATGAGAGCCCACTCTTAAGTGTTGTACCTTCTATAGATTTTAACCATGTGAAAGGACATGAGGCCATCGTTATGCATCATACACTGTCATTTCACTGCCCTGGAAATCCTCTGTACTGCTGCCATTCCTCCTGTCCCTCACTGCCATTGCTCCTTTACTGTCTCCATAGTTTTATCTTTTCAGAAGGTCTGTGTTTTTATTTTTTGCACTGCCTTCTTTGACATAATACTAGTTTCCTTTTGCTCCTGCATCTTTTCATGGCTTGACATAAGGCTATTTATTTTTCTTTTCTTTTTTTTTTTGATGCATTCATATACCTCATTTTATTTACTGAAGAACAACATGACTGCTTGAATATTTTTGGAAGTTATGACTAAAATTGTTACAAATATCAGGACATAAACTTTTTAATGTACATATAACTTTTCATTTCATTTGGGTAAATGCCAAGGAGTATGATAGACGGATTATAGAATAAATGTCTTTTTCATTTTGTAGAAGACTGCCCAACTGTCTTTCAAAGTGATTGTCCCCTCTGGCACTCTCCCAAGCAATGAATGAAGATCTCCTTGTTCTATAGTTTCATCAGCATTTGGTGTCATCACCCTTGCAGATTTGGGCCACTGTAATAGGTACATATTAATGTCCTTATATCTTGAGTCAGGTGTCTAATAAGCCCTTTGACTCAATTTTAACAGGATCATTAGTTTTATTATTTTTTTTTACAAGTTTTGCTTATATCAAAGGCAGAGAGTGAGACAGAGAGAGTTCTCATGTGCTGGTTTACTCCCACATTTCTGCAATGCCTTGGATTGGGCTCAGTCTAAGGCTAGGAACCTGGAAATGGGTGGCAGGATCCCAATTTCTTGCGCTTTCCATCTTGCTGCATTACTACAACACTAGAATCAAGAACCAAACTTCAGAATTAACGCTAGTTACTCTGATGTGGGAAAGAAAATTCTGAAAGTTTCATTCTGCGGATCCTGTCTTTACCAGAGGGTGGCAGGGGGAAATCATTCTAATGAAGTCTAGCCTCATGATTCTTTTCTTTAAAAAAGATTTTTTTTTTTGGTTGAGACACCACACACACACACACACACACACACACACACACACACACACACAGATTTATATTCTGCTGATTTACTCCCCAA